CCTGCTGATGCCGGCATTTATCCTTCTCTATGCTTAAGGAACCAAAGAAACTGAAAGCAACAGTGCAAAAACAGAAATGAGGAAAAACTGGAAGACATACCGATTGCATTGCATTTCCCCTTCTTCAGTTTCTAACAATGAGATCTAAAGCTTCTGATCAGAAGACAGTTTCTTCCTGCAATGACTTAAGGTTACAAGAAAGAAAGTGAATGTGACATGTGATCTAACACCATCGTTTGGAAAGAGGACCTTTTAGGCAATCTTAACTTGGCAGTGACCCACTTCTTTGTGATTGTTATTTCCCAACTTGTGCTTCTAGTCTCATCTGTCTGGTTTTGTAAGACATGTAAAACCTGGGAATTCTTTCTTGACTTGTAAGTGAGCTCCCGAGAAAGAAAAATCAAATCCATCCATCTGCTTTTTGTGTATCCGAGTATATAATGTGTGCAGCATGATGGATAAAAATGAAACTGGAGCATGTGAATAAAACCATGAAAATGGAGAAGCTTCATATAAATATGGGATGGAGAATCATTGTCTGCTCAGGTGTTCTCATGATTCTGATGCAAAACAGAGCTCTAGCTGTACCTTGCAGGGAAACTCAAGGGTAGAGTACTGTGATCATTGACAAGATGATGGCTTTAAATTGAATTGAGTGTAATTTGTATATCATGCAAAGAATGATGATTTGAGAGTTTATAGCAGGGGCAGCTCAGGGAACGCACAAGAAGAAGAAGAAGAATGGGAGATGGTGCAGAGGAAAGGAACGCAGTTCGGCATAAATGGGAGACCATTCTACGTGAATGGGTTCAATACTTACTGGTTGATGATACTTGCGGCAGATAATTCAACGAGAGGGAAAGTGACAGAGCTATTCCAACAAGCCTCTGCTGCTGGTCTTACGGTTTGCAGGACATGGGCCTTCAACGACGGCCAGTGGAGAGCTCTCCAGAAATCCCCTTCTGTCTACGATGAAGACGTCTTCCAGGTAAAACAAAAAGCTTTCCATTTCTTGTTTTGTCTCTCTGATCTCAGCTCCTTCCCCTTGATCGGGTTGCAGGCACTGGACTTTGTCGTGAGCGAGGCTAGAAAGCATAAGATAAGACTGATACTGTCACTGGTGAACAATTGGGATGCCTTCGGTGGCAAGTCTCAGTACGTGAAATGGGGCAATTCCTACGGCCTCAATCTCACCTCCGCCGATGACTTCTTCTCTCATCCCACTCTCAAATCCTTCTACAAAAACCATGTCCGGGTAAAAAAACTAACAATCTTTCAACTCCTTTTACATTGTATGAAAATGACTCTAGAGCCGAGAAAGCCAAAAAACCAATCTGGAAGATGCATTGTGATGTAATGCAGACGGTGTTGAACAGAGTGAACACATTCACAAACATAACATACAAAAACGACCCCACCATCTTCGCCTGGGAACTCATGAACGAGCCTCGTTGTCCCTCTGATCCCTCCGGCGATACTCTCCAGGTTTTATTTCTCTCTGTTTTTTCCTTCTCTCTCAATGCTTTTCTCAACTTCTCAGGTGCCTGTTTTCAGTCTTGGATTCAAGAAATGGCAGTGTTCTTGAAGAGCATTGACGCTAAACACCTCGTGGAGATCGGACTAGAGGGCTTCTATGGGCCCTCGGCACCCGACCGTACACGATTCAACCCCAACACGTACGCCGTTCAAGTCGGAACCGATTTCATCAGAAATCATCAGGTTCTTGGGATCGATTTTGCTTCCGTTCACACATATGCAGATTCCTGGTAAAGACTCTTTGCTTGCTTGCGCTTCAGCCAAGAAAGGAAAGAAAAAAGGATATGAAACAGTTTGTGGCTTGAATGAAATGAAGGATTTCACCGGCGATATCAGAATCGCATCTGGAGTTCACCAGAAGGTGGATGGAAGGCCATATAGAGGACGCGGAGACGTATCTGGGAATGCCGGTGGTGTTTGCGGAGTTTGGGGTGTCATCTAAGGACCCTGGTTTCAACTCATCCTTCAGGGACACGCTGCTAAACACGGTGTACAAGACCATACTGAACTCGACCAGGAAAGGAGGGGCAGCAGCTGGCAGTCTCCTCTGGCAGGTCTTCCCTGAGGGGACAGAGTACATGGACGACGGCTACGCTCTCTACCTCACAAGAGCTCATTCTGCATCCAACATTATCTCTCTTCACTCCACCCGGCTTGCTATCTTTAACTCTCTCTGTAACTGGAGGTGCAAATGGGGATGCAAGAAACACAATCAGAATGCTCTTGATGCACTCCTCTTCCACGACGAACTTTAGCTTTCTCTACTCTCGAGGGAATAATATGGATCACGTTGCGTCTCTATATATGAATGTATACGGTCTCTTGTCTTCCTCCAAGCAGAACAACTCTCTCTCGTGTCATTGAGCACGTGGCCATTCAAATATTATGTATTTACCACATGCAGTCATTTTATCTATGAATTCCATTTACATCAATTTCTGTGACCTCCAATATTTTTGTCTTGATGTTTGAAACAAGTTGTGTACAGCTTCCTATCATATTGTTTTTCTTACTATGTTATAGTTTTAGTTTACCAAATATACTTGTGTTTTTTTCCAAGATAATAAAACGGATAAGGATACGACGACACACGGCCGGAAAGGGTCAGAGCCCATCAGTAGGATTCCAATCCCCCAATGACTATCTGCGCTGCGTAGTTAACTTAAGGAAGTACGTTTCTTCCGGACAAGACCTAAACAAAAACCATAACCACCACGACAGCAACCGCAAAATAAACAGAAACAAAGACACCAATCCTGCCTAAGACAAAGGGCTGGCTCGCTGAAGGAAGGATGGTGGTGGCCTCACGTAAGTGAAGTTCACAAATGGATTGGCATTGGCATCGGCGGTTGGGCTTGCGGCAGGAGAGTCCAACACCGACATCTCCGTCCAGTGCTTCTCGAAGTTGGCTATGCATAGCTTTCCGGATACCTCTGGCCGAAAACTAGGCTGTATCTCTCTCGCTTCAAGCTTTCTCCAGTTTATCAGCTTGAACCACTTGTGCCGTTTGATCTCCTCTGCTCCCGTTGATCCACTTCCCAGGCGCTTTCCGGGCTCTTTTTGTAGCAGCTGAAATTAAGAGCTGTTAGTCCGGTGTTTCAAGATATAGACAACAAACAACATGGGGTTTAGAAAGATTTTTTTTTCTTATTCCAACATCTGTGCTCACCCCTTTGAGCAATGAATGAGCTTCGGTTGACAGAAACTGTGGAAGCTTGATCTTGTCTTTCACAATCTTCTGCTGTATCTTGTCTCTGCTTCCAACAAATGGAGGCTGCAGAAACAGGACGCAAAACACATATAAACACCTTGCATTTCACACAGCCAAATTAATGCTGTCCAGATGAAAAGCACAAAAGGAAAGGGAGAAGGCTTTACCTTTCCTGTGAGCATCTCATACAACAGAATCCCAACGCTCCACCAGTCCGCAGCCTTATCATGGCCCTTCCCTCGAACAATTTCTGGTGACATATACTCCACAGTCCCACACATGGAGTTGGATCTTGTGTTCTCGTCAAATTCTTTTGCCAGACCAAAGTCTGTCAACATCACATGGCCATCTACATCCATGAGGATGTTCTCGGGTTTAAGATCTCTATGCATTATGCCTTTCTCATGAAGGTGGGAGACCGCAGAAACAATTTCTGCGGTGTACACGCGAGCCAAGTCCTCTCTGAAAAACAAAATTAGTACAGTTCAGCCTTGAGTTGTGGTTAAGCTGCAAAAGTTAAAACTGCAGACAAACAAGTACCTGAAAAGCCCCTGGTGATAAAGCTGGAAGAAAAGATGTCCACCGTTTATAAAGTCCAGCACAAGATACAGTCTATACTTAGTCTGCACAGAAAGGTCAAGTACCTTAAAATACATGACTAAAGCTTACAATGAACATAGAGGATACACATGCGCATCTAGCATCAAAATGCTGAACCAGAAAGAAAAAAAACCTCACCTGAAATGAGTATTTAAGCTGCACAATGAAGGGATGGTCAATTTTCGTCAGGATATCACGCTCACCTTTCATGTACTCAGCATGATTTTTCTCCATAATCTTATCTTTTCTCATGACCTTCATTGCATATATCTCGGTCGTTCCCTTTTTCCTCACCTGGTACACTTTTCCAAATGCGCCTTTCCCAACAACACTCAGAACCTCGAAGTCCTCAATGCCTACACCTGAGGCTGTCAACAGGTCACCCTCCAGAGAATTCTCGGTGTCAGTATCGTCCACAGAGTGTTCGTCATCTTCTTTCAATGTCTCACCTTCAAGACACTCCAGGGTGAGCTTGCTCAGCTTTAGAGAATGACTAACAAATGAGGATGGCCCAACCAGCGAGTGGGATCGACTGTAGACAACGGCAGGCTCATCATAAACAAGCTCACCAGCATCAGCAGACAGAGAAATCTCCAAATCGCCAGGGGTAAGCTCAGGCGATGGACCAAAAACATCAGAGAAATCCAGCTCAACATGATCATTCAAAACGACATCAGGAGGGTTGACAGTCACAAAGAGTTGCTTCTGCAGGGGCTTCAGCGTCTGATTTTTGTTTTGGACAGGTAACTGAGAAGACACCATCTTTAAACCGACAACTAACTCAGAACTGCAGATGGCCAAAACAATTTGAGGCTATAGCTTCACGAGATCACCTATTGCAGCAGGACTCCTATCAACAGCGTTAATGAGGAGGAAATTGATGAACACGACAGGAGTTCCAAAAAACTTTGGCAGTAAGCAAAAGAAGATCCAGAAGAAGAAGCTGTTCTTGTTTCCCGATTTGCAGGAAACAACGGATGCCCCAATGACGCCAGAATTCATGAAGATATGGTTCTCAGCTCTGCAGTCAACAGGAAAAACCAAACACGCGCACACTTAGAAGCTAAATACGTTCGAACCAAAATAAAGCCCAAACACAAAATTGAAGAAGCCACTGCAGAACGAGATTAATGACACAAAATCCTCCAAGAAATTAATTTTGAAGCAAATATTAGCAAGTTAAGGCGCTCTTTCAAACCAAGCGAGAACTGCGAAAGCTGGGATTACATCATCTCAGAGAAAATAATCCAACCTACCTCCGGGCTTCGCACAGAGGGAAAATAAAACAAATTTTCGCAATTCTGAAAAGGGGAAAGGCCCAAAAATTGCGGCCAAGTTCGCATGATCCAGAACCATGCAAAATACTTTAGCATCAAGGACCAAAATTTAGCCAAAATACCATGTAGACAAGGCAAGAGGACGGTTTTTCGAGGATTCAGATCTAACCCTAAATCTGGGAACTGGGTGTCGTAAAACGCAACTAAGACCACCCGGATCTCAAACAGAATATCGGAATAAACCTACGATGTTGTAAACCATAAAAATACGTAAAAATGAACCCACAAGGACCAACAGGTAAAGATTCATAAATCTCGAAAGTTTCCACGGAATTCGAACAAAGTGAAAGAGGAAATCCAAAGCTCAACAGGAGAAGAAACAAATTGAGGACAGAAGAGAGAGAAAGAGAGAGAGGATTACCAGGAAGGAAGCCAGGGGAGGAAGACGAAGCGGAGGAGCAATTATGAAGGAGAGGGTAAAGCCAACCCGCAGAGAAGGATCGTAACCGCGTCGCTGCTTTTTATATTTCCTTATTATTGGAAGGAAAGGAAGAGGTTACACGTGGAGAGATTCTAGTGGGTGACAAGACCAAATTGCGTGCGGTGGAGGTTCTTGTTTGACCCGGAGAATTTACGAATATTCGCAGGAGACACAAAATCAAGGAAAATAATATTAATTCTAAGGGTAAATTTATAATTTAAAAACATGCAAAAAGTGGTCCATTAGGTTTCGAACCTGCGACCACTGCGATACTACCACGCTCTATCCAACTGAGCTAACAGGGAAAAAAATAATAACTATATTTAATACTGAAATTCTTAGGTCTCAACTATCCTTTTATTATTACGTCTGTTCTAATTGCACTTGCACCAGAGTTTTTCAATCCGCAATGGGCGATATTTTTAAATTAAGGATGGCTATAAATTCTTATCTTGTGTTTTCACGTTTTTTTTTATCATATTTAGCCACGATTGTGCGTGATTGATGCTAATTCGTTGATAAATTAGGGTTAATCGAGTTGTTGCGGACGAAAAGTGATTAATCGACCATTGTTGCGATTGCGATTCAGTTAAATTATAAAATGTAATATTTTTATTAATATTTATAGATTTTTTAAGAAAAAATCCATTTAAAATCATATTCTTATATTCTTTTCCCAATTCTTTTTTATCACATATCATTCATCATCTAAGATTTAATAATATTAAATAATAAAAAGAAAAAATCTTACAAAAATTATAATAATATTAATAAAAATAATAAAATAATAAAAAATAAATATATATCTATACATATATATCTACATATCCCCACCGAATACAAGAGGAAAAGTATTTACATATTTCCTGGAATATTAACAAGACAACTGATACATATACCCATTTGTTTATAGATTATCCTTAATATTTTTTTATTTGATTTGAGTTTATCTATATGAATTAGGAATTAAGAAAATATAATGATATATACATTCTATACAAATTAGAAGTCTCCATAATTCCAAATAGAAATGATAATATTATTGGCTTATATATCCCTGGAAGACAAGAAGAAGCTCTTCAAAACAAGTCAGCTTTACCTTTAAACATAACAGAGCAATCGCTGATAGGAACAAGGCCCACTAGGTCGTGGAAAGTTGATGTTAGCCCAAAACATGCCACGTCATTGATGTGGCCCAACAATCCACGCTTCCGTTTTTTGGTTACGCCACGTCTTCCCCAAAGAACCGGGAGAAGGTTCTCTCGTTGGCAAGTCTGTTGAAAGTTTCAATCTTTTGATAAGGGAACCAAAAAAAGTGGGGAACTTTGAACATTTTTCTGGTACGTGCATGGACGGATTTGAAAGATTGAGACAAGAAGAGGGGAAGGGAGAAGGCTTGTAGGAAAAAATGTGGAAGAAGATAGGGTACGGGGTGATGATGTCATGGGTGATGGTGATGGGGTGGTGGTGTGAAGGGAGGTTCGTGGTGGAGAAGAACAACCTTAGAGTGACGTCGCCGGAGTCCATCAGAGGAATTTACGAATGTGCCATCGGGAACTTCGGGGTCCCTCAGTACGGAGGGAGCATGACAGGGGAGGTTGTCTTTCCAAAGGCCAATCAGAAGGGTTGTCAGAGCTTCGACCAATTCGACATCTCCTTCTCTTCAAAACCCGGTGGTTTGCCCACTTTTGTCCTCGTCGACCGTGGAGGTCTCATCTCCTTTTTATAAGTCTAAGGTTGTTTTTTGAGATTGTAAGGCACCACCTGACAAATGATGCGTTTGATATCAGATTGCTACTTCACCTTGAAAGCGTGGAATGCGCAGAGGGCAGGAGCGGCGACGATCCTTGTGGTGGACAACCGACCTGAGCCTCTCATCACGATGGACGCTCCCGAGGAAGAGACGGCAGACGCCGACTACCTCCAGAACATCACCATTCCCTCTGCTCTTGTGAGTAAATCACTGGGTAATGCGATGAAGATGGCCATTGCCCACGGAGAACCCGTCCGTATAAGCCTGGATTGGAGGGAGGCTCTGCCTCACCCAGACGACCGAGTGCAGTACGAGCTCTGGACCAACAGCAACGACGAGTGCGGCCCCAAGTGTGACGCCCACATCTCCTTCCTCAACCACTTCAAAGGAGCCGCTCAGATTCTTGAGAAGTCCGGCTACACTCGCTTCACCCCCCACTACATCACCTGGTTTTTCTCTCTCTCTTTCTCTTTTCATTCTTCCATCCATGCCATACGGGTGCATCAATCATTCAAACGTGTTTCTAAAATATGTTGGGAAGGTACTGTCCAGAAGCATTTATCGCGAGCAGACAGTGTAAATCACAATGCATCAACAATGGGAGGTATTGTGCTCCGGACCCTGAGCAAGACTTCTCACGAGGCTACGATGGAAAAGATGTGATTGTTCAGAATCTACGCCAAGCTTGCTTCTTCCGAGTGGCTAATGAGAGTGGAAAGCCTTGGCTTTGGTGGGACTATGTCACCGATTTCTCCATACGTTGTCCCATGCGACAGGAGAAGTACACCAAGGAGTGTGCCGATCAAGTCATACAATCTCTTGGTAATTAAGGAAGAACACCTTTACCAAACTCTATTCAAAGTTCTTGTTTCTCAACAGCTTCTTTAGCATTTCTTTGGTTATATAGGGGTTGATCTCAAGAAAGTTGATGAATGCATCGGAGATATTGAAGCCAATGTTGAGAACCCTGTTCTTAAAGCCGAGCAAGATGCTCAGGTAAGTACTTGTTAAACGTAATCTTGGTAAGGAAGGGTTTATGGTGTTACAACTACAGCCATAATCTCAGCTGAAAAACAATTTCAGGGGGTTTATTGCTTTAGACGAATTTTCCGTTGATGATATTGGTTTCAGATTGGGAAAGGATCACGTGGGGACGTGACGATACTGCCAACGCTGGTGATAAACGACAGACAGTACAGGGGTTATGAGCAAACAACTCTTGACAGTTATATGTATGATCATATTGGGATTCTCTCTAACAGGATGATTATTATTTGGCACAGGGAAGTTGGGAAGAGCAGCGGTGCTTAAGGCCCTTTGCTCCGGATTTAGAGAGACAACTGAGCCACCCATCTGTTTGACTGAAGGTCTGTCTTGACACCTTTTTTTTTTTTGTTTGTTTCGTACAAAGGATGATGAGTAAACTTGTTTGTTTGTGACAGATATAGAAACCAATGAGTGTTTACAAAACAATGGGGGGTGCTGGGAGGACAGAGCCACCAACATCACTGCTTGCAGGGTTCGAAAGTTTGCATCTTTTTTCTTTCAAGTTTTTGGGATAAACATGAGAATGTTTGGATGCAGGACACTTTCAGAGGAAGGGTTTGTGAGTGCCCCATTGTCCAAGGTGTCAAGTTTTTGGGGGACGGTTACACCCACTGCCAAGGTTAGGGTCTGACTGATTTATGGATTCCAAACAAGTTCCATGTTTAATAAGAAAATCAGTAAAACTGCTACAGCGTCTGGAGCATTGCGTTGTGGGATAAACAACGGCGGATGCTGGAAAGAAAGCCAAATGGGAAGAACATATTCGGCATGCCTTGTACAAACACCTTCTTCTTCTTCTTCTTTTAGTGTTTTTGTGGCTTTTCCATTTAATCATATAGCAATTTGTGGGCAAGGATGACCATTCAAGCGGCTGCAAATGTCCGCCTGGATTCAGGGGCGACGGTGTCCATAAGTGCCTAGGTTGGTTTTTTCATAACCCAAGAATGTGCATGTGGTGAGTGAAAACAGAGGATTGAAATGTGGTGTGTGGTGTAGATATAAACGAGTGTGAGGAGAAGGCGGCATGTCAATGTGAAGGGTGCAGATGCAAGAACACATGGGGAAGCTACGAGTGCAGCTGCAGCAGTGCCAGCATGCTTTACATCAGAGAACACGACCTCTGCTTAAGTATGTCTTTATATATAGCTCCTCACATATTTATAGACTAATGAATGATGTGTGTATATATTAAATAGGTAAGGATGCAAAGGCGGACGTGAGATGGGGTCTCATTTGGATATTACTCTTTGTATTTGCCGCTGCTGTCCTCGCTGCCTACTTTGCCTACAAATACAGAATCCGGGTATTCTTTCTTTTTTAATACACATATCCTCTCTTTTGGTTTTATATAAGATATGGATGGACGGATGGATGGATGCAGACATACATGGACTCCGAGATTAGAGCGATAATGGCGCAGTACATGCCTCTCGACAACGACAATCATCCCAACTCCCACCCGTCTTCTCAAATCGAGTTGTAATCATCTTTTGTAAAAACCAAGAAGAAACGGGTTACGATTATTATCTATCTATCCAGGATATGTATGTTTGTTGGATTGACGGCCGAATGGCAAGCACAGATTCTTCTGGCCAACCTGGTGGGAAGGAATATAGCTTGGATTTGTCAGATATTGTACTATACTGTAAGTTCACTTGCTGCAGTGCAATAGAAACACACCATCACCCATTCTTGAAAGTAATCACACTAACCTCTATCAGATTCGGAGGGAATCCAAAATCGTATGAAAAAATCCAACATGCCCTGTGGAATGAATCCAGAACCATTTGCCATTTGAAGCTGCTGTCGTCGTTTTGGTTTCTCTGATGATTCCTACAGCCAACCAAACACCAACAGTTAGACAAGTGTTTGGTTTGGTCGAATCTAATGAGTGCCTGAAATAATACCTGCAGCATCCATCCATATTATCAGCATCATGAGGGTCGCCACGCAGCACATCCGTATCAATGTTACATCCCCCAACCTCTTCTCATTCCTATTTCTTGATCCCGCTTCTCTCCGATTCCATATCCGGAGAACATCGACGAAGGCCAGGCTCCGTCTGATTCTTGATCTCCACTTGGCCTTCGAAACTTTGAAACCCGATAATGCGGATTCGGAATCCGATTCGAGTTTCAGATAGTGCTTTCGGAATCGGAGGAACAATGAGAAACGTTCGAGCTTATGACAAGGAAATTTATTCCGTAAATCGAGCTTCAAATCGAAGCATCTGGCCCTGAGACGAGCTTTGAGCTTCCATTGCTGCTGTCTCTGCTTTTCTTCCGCCATCGCACTTGGAAGAACCAATGGGTGGTGACATGGTTTTAACAAAGTAGGGCTACTGAGTTATTGCAGGCCCAATTAAAATACACAATGGGCTAACAATAGAAGCCGCTTTTGAATTAGATGGCCCTGAAAAAGCTCATTCACTTATTGGGTCATCTAATTAAGATGAGGAAGGCCCATGATCATGAGAAAAATACAGTCGCATTCCCACGCGCAAGGGTCGCGCGTTATCGCCACGTTCGCATTTTTCCCGGGGGATAGTCCACCGAAATCCGTGATATTCAGCTGTTCCCAATTTCTCGGCGCGTGGGATGCTCCTCTCGCTAGCGTGTTTTTCCTCTAAACTCGTTTTTTTTTTCAAATTTTCTGCAACAAAATTTCCCCAGCAGCGGCACTACGAAATATCAATTTTTTTTCACTTTAAATACAAAACTTTTTTGTTACAAAAAAAAAACAATGATTCAATCTCCAAATAAATCCAAGCGAATATAATAAATTAAAATAATTTTGATTTGATATTATTAGGCTGAATTAACCCAAAATGGAAGCCAAATATAATTGATTTGTTTTAATCCATTTTGTTTATAGAACAATTATTATTTTAAGAAAAAACTCATATCCCTGGACTTAACTGAGCTTGTAAGTGCAACTTAGCTGATTATGATAAGCAAATTAGGCGACCAGTCGTAATGATCACCATCGGTTAAAAGTTAAACTGATGATTAAAAAAAAAAGTTGTTTCCACCTTTTCCCGGAAAAAGAAGGGTGGAAACAACTCCATTAAGCTATTAATATTGTTTTGTTAGGGGTAGGTCCGGAGCAATTAAATTCAGATTTCAATACGATTTCGTGAAGAAAAAGGTGATTTTATTTGATGGAAGTGACGGATTATTTAATAAAGATGTCCGAGCCACTAGCGGTAGCAGCTAGCCGAGGTCTTCGGACATGATTTTACATCCTAACTACTCCCCCTCCCCTATTCTCCTGTGTAATTGTATTATATGACATTTACTCGAAACCATTTTACTAATTAAGCGTCAGTCCACCTAACCATTGAATAACTCCAACATTAATTAAGCTGCGAACGTCAATCAGAATCACATTGCTAATCAAGTTTGGTTTGACAATAATATATATATATATATATACGTATTATGATGATATGAACTTTTTCATTGGGAGAGTACGGATAAAAAGGGACACCGAATTTACTTGTTTTTAGTACGTACGATGTTTACGGCTAAATATCATACATGTACATATACATGTATATATATTATCAAAATCACTCTTCACTTGTCAATTCTCTTGTGTTTGATTGTATCCAAATTAAAAATACATTTGTCCGTAATATTAACCGAGAATTCATCTCACGTCAATTTATGTGTGTGTAATATGTAACCACCCTAAACTATGCTATGATATAAACAAATTTATCGTGGAAATCCTGTTTACATATATTCAATAAGCATAATTATTAGTGGCGAACTATGTCGGTTTGCAGCTTTCAGACCGACAAGTCTACATATGATAATAAAAGGCATATGTATTTTTACAGAATGAAAACATATAATTCATAATTATTTCTGAACAATTTTGCAGTGAATTTTAATTTATGTATTACTAGATTCAGGCGGTTTGGTTGCTTCACTTGACATATTTTGTTCGTTATAAGAACAATGTGGCCTCGTATGGAATTTTGTTTGTTAAATGGGTTCTCTTTAAAATCACAACGGATTCGTATTAGCGAACGCGAATGAACATCTATCTGTTTATTGTACAATTAAGTATCGAATTTATTTTAGCGCTATCATAAATTATTATTCCTTTTTTTGTCCGTATATATGAGGAGAGGAAACTAATAATTTGGTACTAATTTAAATCCCATATTTATTGTGTCCGCTCGTGCGCTCTGATTCTACAGGTCTACCACTGCTACACGTGTGACAAAAAATACACATATATACTATAGTCTAATTCATTGCATTGTTGGAAATATGACTAGACGATTTGAGAATATCGCAAATTATGGATGTGTCTCGCTGTTAGCCGTAGAAATCAAATAGAGGGTAAAAAAACAATTTATCCTTGGAAGACATTATTATTATTATTATTATTATTATTATTATTAAAAGGAATCAAATCTCGCAAAGATTTGACAAGTGACTCGGCGATGATAGGGTGATAATATTAAATAATAAAGAGCTGGCCCTCCCCCAATTTTAAAAATAAAGTTAAACTAAAATTCGTCCGCCAATATTCATGCTTATTTGCAAAACATGCCAAGAACTTTCTCGGAAATGGAAAGTCGTGCAATTTTCATTTTCATTTCCTTTGGATAATCGATGGCCCCTCCCACTTTTTTCCAGTTTCACGAAATTTGAAAGCCGTGTCTCTCAGTTATTTCCTACTTCCACTTCAAACACGGCTATTATCATTCCACGTCAGTGCATGGTCATGGTTATGGAATTAGAGAAATAAACATGTATATGGAGAGATTGGTGGAAGGAAAAAGGATAATAAATAAATAATATTATATTTCAAATGCCACCTCGTATATATATCTTTAAGCGATCGTAATTTAAGGGTTATGTATATTATCAGGGCTGGTAAGCATTTCTTGTGAAAGCGAAGAGGCGTGCCCCGACAAAGCCTTTCCACCCCTCGTACTCTCATCTCTATTGGTAGATGGTATTTGGTCAATTTACGATCAACATTTTTCTCCACTCTTTAAATTATTATACTCGCACTTTCAGGAAGTGGTTTTTAATAGGCGAGAAGGGAGATTCATTTCGAAATTCTCTTTTAGCTCGTCTTTTTGAGCATTTTAATGCGTTAAAAAGTAAATAGAGTGGATATTGTCGGAAATTGCTTCTATCAACCGAAACGGAAGTCTAACATTTCAACTGTCAGATTCATGTCTCTCCCTCGTTTGTTTTTGTTTTTATTTTTAACCTTCAGAAACAATAGCTGCTATTTCTTCTTCTTTTATTATTATTATTATTTGAAAAGGAGGTTCCATTGTTTTATCAAATAAATCAGTACCACCACATATTCATACTCAATGCTCTCAGGAAAAGCTTGATGAATACGATTATCAACCATTTTTAAAACCGCCAAATAGATCCATTTAGAAGAAACAATTATTATACCAATATAAATGTATATCCTAATAGACTTCTACTTACTACATCAAATCATAATATGAAAAAAAAAACACTTAAACGAGGGGGAAAAACTGACACAAAATAATATGGAAATGATGGGGTTAAGTTTGGACCCACGTACGATTTTCAACTTTTTTTGGTTTTTTTTTTTTACTTTTTTTATTTGGTTTTTATTATATGGTTAACTTTTTGTTCATGTCAGTGGTCATTCATCGACTTAAATTTTGGCCCAATTGGATTTTGTTGCCACTTCTGTCTAAAGCAAAAATCGTTGTGTTTTGTCCTTTTTACCTCCAGATGTGAACGTTTAGCCTTAGGCATGCGCATTTATTTATACATTTGAATTAGTGCATATTCTTAAATATAGTATATTAATTATTAAACATGCTTATGCATCACTATGTATGTATATGTGTGCACGCGATCTAACATTTACAATCATATTTGAATGCGGCAGACGTTAATCTGAAAGTTTAACCGTATTATTTATTGAACGACATGAATATCTAGCTGACATCAAACATCCGAATCTATAAATGTTTACACAATCCTTTCGTATCTATAAATATGCGTGGGCCTATATGTACGTCTAGTTGTAATTGTAAGCGGTCAATGGACCACATGCATGCAATTAATTAGCTGATAAATATCATGTCAATCTATATATTTCTCAGGGTTCAAATCTAGTGAGACATGTGCGTTTTATGTAAAGATTGGAAGAGGAATCCCAAAGAATCCAAATTAAAACAAAACATGATGGCAAATGATGATCATCTATTAAACAGGAGATTCTTCTGTATTATTCTTCAAAGTCAAATCCATGTACCAGTCAACACTGTTCTTTAATTTTCCCAAGATTCTCGTGAGCCGTATAACAGTGCCACTTAGGCTCCAAGTTATAACACATACACAAGTGAGGTAGATGATCTGCATTTTCTTACTTTTTAAGAAATATAAAGAATTAAGGTTATCAAATTTATATAAAAAATATTTATTATAAAATTATAGTTGAATTTTCCCAACAATCACAATAAACTAGAAAAAATATTCAAATGGTTTTTTCAAAATGAATTGAATTATTAAAATGTTGTTGGGTATACTAAGGATTACATTTGCATATAAATAGTGTTTGTAGAATTATTTTATGTACATAGCAAACAAGATAATGAAGTAAGAAGGAAAATGGAACCAAATGAGTATGGGTGCGTAGCTAATACGTATAATATCAGGAAGAGGAGTTGAGATCAAGCCAGATTTGCTTGAAGACGGCGATGATAATATGGTGATACTCATCAGAATTCAGACTGAGATAGCAAGCGAGAAGCTCTTCCAGATCCTTGGAAGTCGTGATGTTGTTCTCCATGATCATCTCCACCATCGAATCCTTGAAATCCCTCACCGGATCCACCGACGCCTTCACCACCGCCGTGCTCCGCCGCCACTCCCTCACCGACACCCTTGGCGAGCTCAACCTCACCCTCACCCCCGCCACTGCCGTTTTCCGCCTGGAGGTCTTGCTGGGTCTCTTCCCTGCCGCCGTTGGTTTCGTTACGATCGGACTGAGGTCGAGCTCCGGCAACCTGGGCGCCGCCACTTTGGAGGCACAGATGCAAGGGCTGGGCCAGGAGCCGCTTTTTTCGTCGGCGAGAAGAACGTGATCGGACCGGAGCTCCGGCGAGAAAGAGCAGCCGGTGAGGGAGCTGTCAGCGGATGTGGTGGAGAACTCTGGGCCCGACCAGGCCTTGACACTGGAGGCGCATCCGGAGGAGACGGCGGAGCTAACGCGCTTTGGCGAGTATCTGGCCTCAGCCGTGCTTCGGCGGCGGAGGCGTTGGGTAGCTGATTTTCTCGGGGAGTGGGAAGGAGAACTGCTGGCCGTTTTGTCGGAGAGGGGTGGCCTGGAGTAGTAGTAAGACCTCCTGGGGTGGTGGGGTAGAGGGCTGCGTGCTGTTTTGGGAGGGGAGGGAGGGACAGCGTGCTGTTTGGTGGTGGAGGCTGGGTTTTTCGCGGACCTCCCCAAATATCGGAGCCTGTAAAACCACGCGTTTGGCATCAGTTCTGATAACCTAAACCCACCCATCTGACTCCCGTCGGCATGGAAGAAATGGAACTGGAGAGGTGACGATATAAAGAGAGTGTGTGCGTGGGGCCTCTTACGTGGAAATAAAAGTCAGAGCTCTGATCTTGCGTTGGATTCGGTGTTTGCCCCTCTCATTGTCATGTTGACGTTCTTTACCCATTTTATTCTTATGTTAACCGAATTAGATTAGTTGGACACATTATTAATTAGCTGCCCTTGTCGACGGACCCAGCTAAATATTTAATTGGCGGGCAAAAATGAATTTAATCATATGAATAAATTTAATTAAGATGGGCCTTTCATATTTTTGTTCAAAATTTATGAAGAAATTGTAAAAATACACGTAGGTCCGGCCATGTTGTCACCACCGAAATTATTCACAACACTACCAACCGTACTAAAACAATTACACGATATGTATATATACGACGGTAATCATTAGTCTTTATTTTATATATATATATATATATTCCATTTTTCTTTTCATGTAATTTGGTGGGAAGTGGGAACCATCCATGCCTTTCTTGATAATATTATTTATTTTGAATGATAATATTGTATCCGTTTTAATCTTTCTGAACATATATGTATTAAAAAAATACAAAACATTTCTACGACCTTTGACGATATCGCTCCACGTGACGATATCGCAATCTCAATTCAGTCACGAGAGGCGATATCGCTCCACGTGGCTGCTTCTAACCGGATCTGTCAATTTGGGCCCAAACGAAAATTATGATGCAATCAAGAGAATGGCCCAATAAGATTGGTCGGCCCAAACATGGTTCACCCAATGCCTTTTTTTTTCCTTCTATTTTCCTTTTTGTTTTGCAATCAATCCTTTTTCTGGTTTTTCCCCACAGTGTATTTTTTTTACCCGTAACGATGCGACCCACAAAGAAATAGGAAAAAAGGCTACAGATAGTCAACAAAATCTTTGAGTTGGAAAATATTATGAAAATATACAACAAATAAAATTTTTAAAAAAGTGGGAATTTGTAATTGGTAGGAAAAATGATTATGGCTTACGAATCGTAATAACTTTTGTAGAGAAAAAAAAAAAGAAATTAGAAGGATAAAATACAGTAGTATGAAAGGATGGGTTGGAGGAGGAGGAGGATGTGATATGAAATGTAGGCTTTTGATGTGAGCAAGGGAGGGAAAAAGTGAGATATGGACATGAGTTGCAGGAATTGTCATTTACCTTTCCCAAAAATCATTACCAATTCTGTATGTGCTGAATAAATGCCGATATTATTACATTGGTATATTTTTGTCTTTTACTGCTCCCCCACCCCCACACCTTATCTAGTAAATATATCGGCTCTCTCAAGTTACCACAGTTTTTTCCATCACACTACACATTTAAAATTGACTTCTTTTTCATCCATTGAAAAAAAACACAAATGTTTATACTTTTTTTTTTTCTCTCAATGAATTACATTTACAACTTTTGAGAACAAGGAAAAATTATTCACAATTTCCCTTTTGTTTCTGTTACGAGTAAAAATACCCTCCCATCCTCCAAATCCCAACTAACTTCACATACACACAAAAAGGCAGCAGAAGAAAAAACAAAACTCAAAAAATCCTACTTGAAGTTGGGACGACAATGCTCTGCGTATCAGCCGCCTGGTCATGGGAATCACCGGCGTTATCCATCCCGGCCGCCCACCGCCGTAGATACCTCATGAGAGACGCCGCCTTCCGCCGCGCCCTCGGCGTCCCCGTCCCTATCATCTCCCATATTAGCCTCTCTATCCCGGGGATCCCCGCCATCTCTCCCACCATCTCCGACCCTCCTTTCCGGCACATCGTCACCAGCGTCGCCGCCGCACTCTCCCTCGTCGCCTCTGCCCCTTCCCTCAGCAGCTCCCCCAGCCGCCGTATCTGCCCAAACGCCGCCGCCGCCGCCATGAGACCTCCCCTCCTCACCACCGCCTCCACCACCGCCACCGCCTCCTCCGGCAGCTCCCTGAACGCCTCTCCAGCGACCTCCACCACCCCTCCCTCCACGAATCTCCCCACATTATCCCTCTCCCCCGCCAGGTTCAGGATCGCTACCAGCGCGTCTCTCTTGGAGCTCGTCGGCCCATGCTTCGCCAGCTCCACCAATCCCTTCACGACACGTGTCTTCCTCCCCAGCCGCCTCTTGTACGACGCAACACCCGACAGGCTGAACAACGTCGCTGCGGCGTTGGCCTTCGCCTCCCACGTCGCGCCCGACCGGAGGACTTCGATGACGCCATTTAGAGCTCCGTCGGTTTCCATGATCCTCGTTTTGTTTTCCTCCAGGATTGAGAGGTTGAGGATCGTCGTGACAGCGTTTACCTGGAGAGCCGGGTGCTCCGAGCCGACGCAGCGGACCAACTTCGGTATGGCTCCTTCCTCAGCGATGCAGACTCGGGCAACGGAGTCCGACTTGGCGAGCGAACGGAGCTCGTGGACGACGCTGTTTGACTCGTCCATGGTGGAAGAGACGGAAAGTTTGTTGATCAGATACGAAACCGTCATCCTCGTAAACTCCACGGCCTCCTTGCACGGTTCGGTGCATCCGCCGGTTCTCTGGCCGCCGCCTTCGGTGGAGGACTCGAACGGTATCTTCTGCTCACGGCACCACATCACGATGAGGTTCTTCAAGGCTCGGTTGGGTATGAGGTCGGTGTGCTTGAAGGTTTGACCAGTTTTCGGGCAAGTATTGTGTCCCGATTGGATCCAGAGCTCGATTGACTCGCGATCGTACGTCTGCCCGGTTGATACAACCACCGGATCGCGCATTAGCTCCAGCGTGATTGGGCACCGGAAATCCGAAGGGATGCTTATCTCCGACACCGACTTGTGGCGGCGGATTTCCGGCTGTGGCGGCGGTGACGTGCCGTGTAGCACGTATTTCGCGTAACGCACGAGTCCAATGAGAGAAGCAGCCATTGATTTGGATCGCTCGTCGATCTGATTCTGGATTTCGTCCTCCAATCTCTCGATTTCGTTGGTGCAACTGGAGGAATCACGGAACCCTAGGGCGGTGAAAATCGCTCTGAGCCTGGAGTGATCAGGGGCGATCTGGCGTCCGATCCCATCGATGAGGTCGATCACCTCTCGCCGGAGATCGTCATCTCGTGGATCGACGGAGGGCTTCGATAGGGAGCATTGTTTTCTGAGGAGAATCACGAGCTCTGCGACGTCATCGGTGAGAGGGAACTCCTTGACGGGCAAAATATCTAGAAGAGTGGATAAATCGATGTTGAGCTCGTGGAAATGGAAGGAGACGGTTTCTATGTGCATGAGCAAAGAGAGCTGGCTTCCATGGGAGCAATCGTCGATCAAGGTCTTCGCCCTCTGCATAAGGATGTGCATTTCCTCGAAGCAAAGCTGAACCGAGTGCGAGTAGACAAACTGAAAACGCAGAAGATCATCGAGGACTGCGGCGAGGGTTTTCATTCGGCGAATGATACAAAGGGAATTGAGACGTAGGATGAAGCGGAGGGGCTGGAGAGAGGATAACTCGTGAGAGAGGAGAAAGAGGGATCGGGTCAGTTTGGAATCGGATAATCGGAGGGAGGAGGACGGTGGCCGTTTTCTGGCCGGAAAAGTGCCGGGAGTGACGGCCATGAGAAGGGAGAGGAGAATAGCAGGAATTCCGGGGGGGGAAATCAAAGCAGGGATTCGGAAGAAGAAAACACGAAGAGTTGGTTAACGGAGACGAAGGAGCTCAAATTATTTTTGTCTTTCCTGCCCAATAATTTTTGGTTTTATTTTATTTTATATTATCGCCAGAATATAGAATGGGAAATACATAAAAAAAAAAAAACCATGCTGGTTGGGATTTGGGCTGCTTGATTATGGATAAGTCTAAACCCAGCATTCATGAATGTTGATTAGAGATTCAGAGGGGCAAAATCAACGCACGACTCCTCCCCCACACAGCATTTAAATAATCAATTTGATGAACTGGTCCGCACCTTGAACGCAAAACAGTTTGTTAGAGATGATAATTGCCCGTTATTAAATTACAATTAATTAAATGATTCCATTCTTTTACTTTCCTCTTTTGGGTCTTCTACATATAAATGTTCCCATGTAATGTTGCAATAAGGTGAAAAATAAATGTTGTTTTTTTACTAATATGATTGGGATCAGCTGAAGTTGGACTTTGACATTTTCCTCAAAAAGTTGTATTCCTTTTCTTTTATAAAGTAATTCAATATGTGTGTGTACACATATATGTAAATACTAAATAGGTGTTGATAGAGGAAATAGGGAAGAGGAGGAGGTTACGAGGACAGCACCAACTCATCCACCTTCCATGTCTTAATGCATACACCAAGTCTCCCTGTTTTTGTTTTTTAATTATTAATTTAATTGCAATAATAAATTACTAATAATGATATATATATATATATATATATATATGTAGATGTCTATCGCCATCAACCACCACTGCCACTTTTTTCTTATAATATTGAATTTATTGGTTAGCTAGAGAATATGGAACATCGTTCGCTGTTTATAATGATGGATTACAAGTACCCTTTAAAATAGATGGAAAATAAATGTGTAATCCAGTTTTCGTTTCCCTCTGTATTCAAAATCAATAGCCATGGAATGCACCAAACTACGCATTTGATATATATATATATATCGTGAATTTTGTTGAATGAAACTCACACGGAGGATAATAAAAACATTGGGCTGAAAAATAAGACCCAATATGTATGGATATGGGCTTCCCATACAACATCCCTCCCTAAAGCCCATTCTCAAAACATCCTTCCCTTTTAAAGAAAACCCAATAAAAATTCTTATTTGCTAAACGTTACAATTAAAAATAATAATATTAATTCATTATTATTATATCATCATATGTATTGTAACACACACGCATACATATGTCAACATATGCGTACGTATAAAACAATATCATTTTTTATGATAAAAAGTGTAACCATGTTGCTAATAAACTTCTTGTTATCCAATTCCTATATTATTTAGCTTTTTAATTTATCCATGTTAGGTGCCATTTTGAGACGTTTCAACTGTTTGATTTTATATCAATTGAATAATTAAAACTCGTCACATTCTTCTCTCTTGAATGTTTAAAATAAACTCCCAGCATTACCACGCCATATTCCAATATACATATTTTTATCATTCATCTACTGCCAAACACCATAAATCTATATATGAAAAAGGGCATAAAAACGAGAGGTTCCGAATTATTTATTCGTTAATCGTATTCCATAATGGGCGAATGTATAATTGTAAATGTTATGCCAAAAAAAGATGATACATTGAAAGTGGGAATATCAAAGTTACGCCCAACACATTTATTTATCTATGACATTTATATATATATATATATATATATATATAAATGGTTTCGTCATGGAGAAGGAAACGTGCAAACAATGTTACGTAGATGAATAGTATAGCCATCATAAATTATGTAATATTTATACATATATGTATGTATGTATACGATATTTGGGTTGTAAAGCGTGGCAAGGTTCTCTTTACTCCGTCCACCCAAAACATCCCCAATTCAACCAAAAAAATAAAAATCACTTTGCACGACTATATATAAGTCTATAACTGTTCTTGTATATAACTTTAAAAATTGTTATTATTATTTATTAAGAGATATAATACATATATCTTCAAAGATATCAAAATACATAAAAAAATATTTTTAGAATATTATTATAATATTTAAATTTCATTTCGTTTTTATATGTTAGATATTTATATTTATGAAATAAGATATTTTATAAGTTTGTTTTCTTCTTATAACTATTATAAGGTTGTGTATATTAAATAATGATAAATCCAACTAATTTTCACACTTTTCTCTATTATGGTAATAAAGTTTATACAATTAAATATCGTAAGATTTTGTTTTAAATCCGGTTTTTAATCCCTTCAATTAAAAAACTACCATCGATGACCTACATATTTATGATAATATTCTAAAATATTCTTCATATCTCTTGATATTTTCGACAATGATATTATTATTTTCATTTAGCAAAAAGAAAATGCAGACTACCACGAGAGAGAAGACGCGAGGAAATTTCATATGACCGACATTGTTTCCACATCATCCATCATCATACTACCGATATTCACGTGGCCTTTATAATTTTCAAAGCACGGAGTATTGTTTTATTTATGAATCCCGGGAATCATATTATTATTAATAGTCACGGGCCATAATATATCATTCAATTGCGTTTATTATCTTTCTCTAGTAATTGGATTATTTTCTATATATATAGATTCACCACGAGACATCTCTCTACTACAATTCTACATTAAACATTATATACCACTTTTGCGTTTTTCATTGTGTATAAATACAATATTTAAAAGTACCGACGCTATTTATTCCTTTAAAATCCGTTACACCAATTACACTAACACTTGAGTTTAAAACATTGTGATACAGTGAATTTGTAGACACATCCGTAGTTATCTCTATTATTGAATCATACCTTTCATGGAACATTATCAGATCAGTTCCATAATACTGCAGAATCATTTCTCACCAATCTGTATTGAATTAATCACTCTAATGTTGTTGAAAAGACATGCATGATAGGTTTTATTCTGTCAGAATGTTATATTATAGTAATTATCTAACGTTAACTTGGGTGAATAATCTATTTTACCATTTTCACCATTCCGATATATGAAAATAGTAATTATGCAGTCAACGCTGAACTAAAAGGAATATTCGATTCAATATGCAGACAAAGTTGGGATGCCGGGCCGTGAATATGCATTCTTGGTCTGGTTTTCATGCCTATGTAACGTGTGTTAATTATTAACGCAACATTCATTGTTTATATTCAAGAAGTGATATGCTTATATAATCCTATTTTGGGGTGCATCGTCAGACACCACATCTAATCATCAACGGCCAAATTGGGTCACGCACATAACAATAATATAAAAAAAAAATCGTTGGACGTTCAAATTGTTTTTCTTTTCATGTAAAAACGTAATGCTCTGTCTCCGTTATAATTCGAATATCTTTTTGGGAGATTTTTCTCAAAATTATAAGGGAAGCCTCGGTCATCCCATACCGTTTATACCACAGATTTCATCACGGTTCGATTTATTCGGTTTTATAATAATTATATTAAATTAATATCGAATATTTTGACACAGAGAACTTTGAAATGTTTTCTGCTGTACTCATTTATCAAAGGCAACATTTGTTTAAATACAATGGAAAGAAAACCCTAGTGGACCCTAACCAACCTAAACCAAACCTGATAATTAACCAAACCAATAGTTATCTACATATATATTCTAATAGAATATTGCTCGGTTCGATTTGATTCTGTTCAATTTTGAACCAAATTCTCAAACCGAGATGTCATTGTCTACTACACCTATACCCTTGGAGATCTACATGATGAGATACGCACCGGGACACGTGTTCGGTCCTAATTCACCTTAATGTCCCTTCGAGAAAAAAAAACCCAATTAAACAAGTTTCAAAAAAAGAGGCGAGGAAAAATCCATTGAATTGGCGGAAATACCCTCGTCTCCCACCTTCGCACCCTCCATTCATCCCTCGTCTCTCTTATACGTGTGTGTATTCATATATCCATGTGTGTGTTTATAAATACGATCTCTTATCAGAATTCAGCTTATCTCTTATCCCATATTTATTCATATTCAAACCTCAAACCAGCCAAGGATTAGGAAAAAAGAGGAAATGTCTTTTTCTTGTATTTCCCGCGTCTAGTAATAGCGCTCGGCAATGGTGATCCCAGATTCATTGATCGGGTCCCGAAATCATTAGCGAAGAGGAGATCCGGCCTTCTCATCGGGAGGGGGGGGGG